GGTGGGGGGCACCAGGGAGGGAGGCCCGGGGGAGGGAGCCCGGGTTCCTCCCTCGCGCCCTCTTCCTTGCCCCCCCCGGTAATTCCCTGAATCCCACCCCCTTGCCCCCCCCCCCGCCCCCCCCCCCGCCCCCCCGCCCCTTCCACAGTTTGCGGAGCACGGCACGCTGAAGAAGGTGGTCCTCAACCAGATGATTACCCCCGGCCGCAAGCTGTACTCGCTGGCGGATGCGGTGCGCTGGGGCAAGCAGATGGCGCAGGGGCTGGCCTACCTGCACGGCTGCAGCCCCATGGTCATCCACAGAGACCTCAAGACAGAAAACGTAAGCATATGTCATGCTACAGTCACCCGCGTTGATAGGCCGCGTGAGCAACAAGAAGCGCGTGAAGCTCAGCTGGAGCCATGCTCCAGCCTGCTTGCTGCTGCTGCAAGCGCTACTGCTCGCTGCCGCTGCTTGTGCTGATGCATCTGGGCCGCCGCGCGCCATGCATGGCTGCAGGTGCTGCTGGTCAGCGGCCAGGGCGGGCGCATGGATGCCAAGCTGGCAGACTTTGGGCTGCACACGCTGGTCAAGCGGCCCGCGGCGGCGCTGCCCGCCATCGAAGACATCAAGTGAGCCAGGATCCCTCTGGGCGGAGGTGGTGGTGGCGCTGCATGGCGGAGCTCGCTGCGCTGCTGGCAGGCAGCATGTGCACGCTGCTAGCTGCCCGCGCTCATGTGCCCCTGCCTGCCCCCGCCTGCCCCTGACCTTCAGGGAGGAGGAGTGCCACCACGGCCTGGCCCTTGCCGCCGACGCCGCGCGCAGCCCCACCGCCGCCGACGCCGAGGCGCAGCGGCAGGGCATCGCCGACGCCAGGCAGGCCAAGTACCACCTGACGGGGCAGACGGGCGCCTACATCTACATGGCGCCCGAGGTGCTGCAGGGCAAGCCGTACAACGAGAAGGTGGACTGCTTCGGGTGGGTGACACACTCGGCATCCAGCCGCCCTGCTTCGCCCGTGCTGCTTGCCTTGCCAGCCCCTGCCGTTGCCCCTGCTTGCCCTCTGCCCTTCAACGCGGTGGCGCGCTGTTTCTCACCAGCGCCGAGTGCTCCCTGCCGCCTCCACTCCCCCTGTGCGCGCAGGTTTGGCGTCATCCTGTACGAGCTGCTGCACCGCAAGATGCTGCTGGCGGACATCATGTACCTTGGGGGCGCCGACGACGCCCAGGCGCACGCACACAAGGTGGCCGCCGGCTACCGCCCGCCCATCAGCGAGGCGCTGCCCCAGGGCCTGCGCCAGCTGGTCAAGGAGTGCCAGTCGGGCACACCGGAGCTGAGGCCCAGGTGAGGGGCAGCAGCAGCAGGCAGGCCGCGTCGAGCGGCGCTGCCGGCAGCGCGGGTGTCTCCCTGGCTTCGGCGGCTGTGCCCGCCGTGCCGTCCCCGGTGCATGACATCGCACCACTGCCCCTGCCCTGCCTGCTGCAGCATGGAGGAGGTGGTGAGGCGGATGGAGGAGGTGGAGCGGTCTGGGGAGCTGCAGGCAGCGGAGCAGGCGCACGGGCCTAAAGGCTCCCAGGCCGGCTGCTGCACCATCATGTGACACGGCTGAGCAGCAGCGCCACATGCCAACCAATAAGCCCTTGCCTGCCGCTGCAGCCTGGGCTGCCGCGTGCCCATGTGTCCCCTACTGATGCAAGCCTTGGTTCCCCTGCCTCTGAAAGATAACCCACATCTCGATCACTCTTGCCGCCCTTTTGCCTTCCAAATATCAAACACTCTAAAAAGAATGACCTGCCACTGCGCATCATAGTCTTGGCCGCCACGTACTGAACACTGCCTTACATGATGCGCTCTCATGAGAGTGATCACCCCCCATCGTCATTTCCCAACAGCTGGCTGTACCTGCTGCATGGCTTGGTACCGGACATTCTCTCTTGCCTTACCCTTCCGACCGCTCTCTCTGCACTGCTGTATTCTCGCTGGCCTTCATGCCGGCATCGCCTTGTTGCGCCAGATGGCACCATTTCACAACGCTGCCATCAGATAATCACCTACTGCTTTGCAATACCTTCCTAACCTATTGCTTCATGACTTTATCTTCCTGAGTTCAGTTTCCAGCAACAGCGTTTTTTATTTCCAGCAGCACCGTGGGCAACACATCGCAGATGCCAACTTGCTTTCAGAAGCCTGATTTCTCAGTCCCTAACCTGTAATGAGCACTTCTCCAGGGCAGATGCTGCGAATCCAAGGGAAAGCACTGCAGCATCTTACACGCAATACCAGGGGGGAAACAGAAGGGTGCCATAATGACGAATCATCGAGTTGGAGCGACAATACATATAACAGACTGGGAAGGCATGAAAACAGGAGGGTTGACTGGGATGTTGTGTGCGGTGTGAGGCAAGTGAGTATACTGCGACAGGGTGTGGCGCTCGCAGCAGGCAAGGGCTGGCCACGCAACACAGGCGCAGGGGCTGGGCGGGCCAACCAATGTGGACAGCACGGGAGCAACGAACGAGTGTGAGTGGGTCAACGAGTGCTGGAAAGCGCCTCTGCCACCTGGGCAGCGGAGGGCGCACGTCTGGGCCCGGGCTGGTGACCAGCCGGGCTGTCACCCCCCCCATCACCTCATGCATAGCTGTAGTTGCGCACGCTGTAGGGGTTGTCCGAAGGCGCGGGCTGCTCGGTCACAGGGTAGCGCGCCGCCGGCACGCCGCCCTCTGCGCCCTTGCCCAGCGGCGCCGCCGCCTTGTCCCCCGCCTCTGGCTCCGAGAAGCGCTTGGTGCTGCCCAGCGAGCCGCCGCCGCTGCCGCCGCCGCTGCTATAGCCCGCGGGGCGGTCTGCCGCCAGGCTGCCGGTGACGGGGCCGCCAGAGCCCAGGCTGCCCGCCGAGTGGTAGGGGTTGGAGGCCTCTGGCGCGGGGCCCGCCGGCGGCCCCGCCATGCCCACCGCAGGCGGCGGGCCTTGCGTGAACATGCCAAAGCCTGCCGCTCCGGTGCCCGCGGCCGCCAGGGCGCCGGTGGGCGTGCCGACGGGCGAGGGCGCCGCAGCCGGCGGCGCCGGCGCGCTGGTCAGCTCGCCAAACGCGTCCGCCGCGCCCAGCAGCGCGCCGCCCTGCAGCCGCAGCGCCGCCGCAACTGCAAGCGCAGCGGGACGGCGGGCATGCAGCCTGTCAATGCCAGTGGGCTGGTAGGGCAGTGCTCCAGACTGCTCTTGGCAAGGGCGTCTTAACTGAGGCCGGATGCACTCGATAACCTCGCCCCAACCTCGTGCCATGCACTCCCCATCAGCTTGCCACAACAGCACCCTGCCTCCACGCTCTCCCTCTAGCACGCTCTCCCTCTAGCACAGCAGGCAGCCACAGGCACACACATGCGAACGCGCGTGTGCAGCGCCCCTCACCGTAGTGCTTCAGGTACTGCCCGTCGGCTATCAGCGCCGCCAGGTCGCGAGCCAGCAGCGCCTCCTGCTGGTCAAAATTCTGGGTGGTGACTGCGGTTGGCGCAGAGGGGCGGGGAGCAGAAGGGCGGCAGGGTCGGCGGGTGAGGCGGCGCCAAAGCGCGGCGACCCTTCAGCCGAGGGGCAACATGAGCTGTGCCAGGGAGCGGCCGCGCGCTTGCATCGCCCCTCGCTTGACCAGGGCTGGGTTGAGCCCCCAGGCTCGCTCCCCCACTGGGTGTTTCCCCCAGGCTCGCTCCCCCACCGGCTGGAGCCCCCAGGCGGGCTCTGCCCCACGCCCCACCTTTGAGCTTGGCCTCCTTGTGCGACAGCAGGCGGATGGTGGCATCCAGTTTCTGCTCGGGCTTGGCGCCGCCGCCGCCCGCGCCCAGCCGCGCGCGCATCGCGCTCACCCTGCAGTCGCGCGGGCGCACAGGCCAGGTGATAACACCGCGGCCGCTCTGGCAAACCATGCACCCCGCAGCATCGCAGGCAGGCAAGCCCAGCGCCGCTCCACCCGCCACTGCTGTTGCTCCCTGCCGCGTCTTCCAGCCACTTGTGTTGCTCGTCCGCTGCGCAGCCCACCAGCCGCACGCACGCGCCCTCTGCTGGATGGCCTGCCACAACTGCCGCCACCCAGCCCAGCCGCCTCTCACTTGGTGGACAGCTCCGTGACCGTGCGGCGGCGCGAGTCCAGCTCCAGCCGCGTGTTCTCCAGGTCCTTGTACCGAGCCTGCCATTCAGCACACAAGCACGGCACGAAGCAGGGTGGGCAGGCAGGTATGGAGTGCTGCCGCGGCCACGCACGGCGTCGCCACCGGGCGGCAGCACAGCGACGCAGCAGCCGGTCGGCCGATCGGCGAGGAGAAGTGGAGCAGCCGCGGCGGCAGCCTGGCTGGGGGGCGCTGACCGCCGGCTGCGGCAGGCCCCGGCGGCAGCGGGCCACTCACCGCGAGCTGCAGGTGCACCTCTTGCCACCGCGTCAGCGGCGCCAGCACCTCCGTTTCCAGCTTGTGCCCCGACTCGTTTGTCACGCGGCTCACTGTGTCCGCCTTGAAGGTGGGCCCGCCCACCAGGTTGAGGGAGGAGGTGGCGGAGCCGGCGCCGCCGTTGGTGTCCTCGTACGTTTGCGGCAGCGGCAGCGTCATCGTCGTCTTGGTGGCCGACAGCAGCTCCGCGTTGGCGGCGTGGGCGGCGCGGATCGCCTTCTCGCACTTGCGCACCTGCAAGCTGAAGTCGGTGGCCGTCTTCATCATCACCTTGTTCCTGCGGGGAGGGGCAGGTGGGCGTTGGGAGCACGTGGCGCCTCCCCTGGCAGCGGAAGGTGCCGACGAGAGGCGCCGCCCCGCCTGCCGCGCGCGCCAGTGCGGCGGGCAGCTGGCGGCGTTGCCGGCCCTGGCTTGCCTCCTGCACCGCCAGCAGGGCGTGCGAGCCTGGCTGCCAGCAGACCAGCAGGCGACGCGGCCCAGACCTTGCGTTGCTGGTGAGGTCGTGAGCGCCGGGCATAGACTCCCGGACCCTCTCCTTGAGTCGTCTCCATCCGGCCCCCATTTTTGCAGCCGCAGTAGTTGCAGGGCGATCGGGGGCTGTGAATGGGTGCGGGCAGACCTACAGGGTGATGCAATTTGTCAAAGACCCTCTAAATTGTCCAGGAGGCGCGGCATCTACTCGACCTAAGCCCTGGGGGACCGGGCCGCCTGCCCCGTGGCACTGCCAGCGCCGCTGGCAGCACGGAAACCCCGCCTCCTCTTGGTCCTCCTGCCTCAGAGACCCTAGCAATTACAAAGCAGTTGTTGCACTTGCAGCCGACCCTGCTCATGTCCCAGCAAAGGCGCCGAGAGGCGCCCAGACATCCCGCCACCGCGGAAGCCGCCGCCAGCCGCCGAGCCGCCGTCTAAGCCGACTGCCAACAGCCTGCCCCATATCCAAACTCCAACCATGCAACTCCATCATCACACGGTCGCAGAGTGGGGTCCCCCGCCAGCGCCTGCCTTCTCGGCGGTCACTGGAAAGCGTGCCAGCGGCGCCAGCTGCGCATCCGGTGTGTGTGGCGGCGGGCCCTCGCCCAGCTGGCCCGCCGCAAAAGCGGGCGCCGTGCCACCGACGGCGCTGGCGCCCAGCCCGCCTGTAATGCCAGGTGGCGGGCTGGGGGGCTCTGCCAGCTTGCGGGCTGGCGGCGACTGGGCCGGCAGCGGGCCAAACGCCTCGGCCGCGCCCAGCAGCGCATTGCCCTGCAGGCGCAGCGCCGCCGCGGCATAGTGCCTGAGCCAGCGCGCATCCGTGATGAGCGTGGCCAGGTCTCGGTGCAGCAGCTGCTCCAGGTCCGCAAAGCTCTGCGCCGCCACTGCAGCAGGCGCGCGAGCAGCAGGAGGGCAGACGAGGGACGGCATCAGACACTGTGGGAGGACCCCACAGCTTGCTTCTCGGCGCTTTTCCAAACAAGCGTGATGACGGCAGCATCGGAGGCAGCGCTGTATAGCTCGCCTTGCAGCTTGCTCTCCTTGTGCTGCAGCCGGCGCATGCTCTGCTCCAGCGCCGCCTCCTGCTTGGCATCGCTGCCCCGGCTGCTCAGCTGCGCGCGCAGGCTGTCCACCCTGCAGGCAGCCCAGCCAAGGGCACAGGGCCAGCCAGAGCCCCAGCGCATGGGGCCGTGCTCATCACTGCGGGACACCCCCCTTCACAAGGGATGCCTCCAGCCAGCGCGCCAGCACTCAGCCCCCCGCTCACTTGTGGGACAGCTCAGCCACCGTCCTGCGCCGTGAGTCCACCTCCAGCCGCTGGCTCTCCAGCTCGCCGTAGCGTGCCTGCGGGCGGGGCCAGGCACGGCGCCAGCGCGTCGGGTGCCAGGCGGTCACGAGCTGGCAGGAGGCATGGGAAAGCTACTGTGTCCTTGATCACGATGGGGGCAGCACACTCACTGCCAGCTGGGTGTAGACGTCGTGCCACCTCTGCAGCGGCGCCAGAACCTCCGCCTCTGTCTTGTGGGTCGCCTCCTGCACCGCCCTGCTCATTGCGTGGGCACTGAAACCGTCGCCGCCGATGGCGGAGGGCCCGCTGGAGGCCCCGCCGCTGCCCGCCGCCGTCTCCTGGAAGCGCAGCGGCAGCGGCGCCGCCATCACGCCCCGGATGGCGCCCACGGCCTCGGCGTTGGCGGCGGCCATCTGCCGCACGGCGCGCTCGCACTTCTCCAGTTGCACCACAAACTGCCGCGCCTCCTCCAGCATGGTGGAGCACCGCGCGTTGGAGGTGGGCTGGAAGTCCCGGCCCCCCAGGGGGCTCCCCTGCTGGATGCGCTCCCTCCAGCGCCGCCAGCCCGCGCCCATGGCAGGAAGGAGAGGAGGACGAAGAGGACGAAGAGGATAGCGGACCAGGCCTGAACACAGAGGGGGCAGCGGCGGCCGACGGCTGCCGCCTGTTGAGGGGCAGCTGGCGGCCGCGGCGGCGCGTCCAAGGCTGTGCCAAGCAGCCTGGCTTCTCCCCTGGGCACTGTGCTGCTCCCACAAAGCCTGAGCACGAGTCACTCGTTTGCTTCTTGGATCACCCACCTTCCTCACCCGCAGCCTGCAATGACTGGAGGTCCAGCTGCAAAGTGGCTGTGCAAAGTGGCTGTGCAAAGTGGCTGTGCAGGCACAACAGAAATGATGGTTTCCAGATCCTGAGCTGGCGCAGGGCGCCAGCTGGAAGTCCTTTCGCACAGCGACGTGCGCAAGGCATGCGGTCTTACGTTATCTACTTATTTACCACTTATATAATTGAACAACGACAGAGCGAGCGAGGCCTGACCAGCGACCCACCCCGCCCGCATGCGCCATTCGCTGACCAGCCCGAGGGCACGCAATCCAGCCACACCGCCATGCCCGCACTTCCAATCAAGCGCGCGACCTGGAATTCCAGTGCCATGCAGCTGAGAGCGCGATGCCAGCTGCGGGCGGTCCAGGTGGCCGCTGGCCTCCGCCAGTCCATGGCCCGGTTGCTGCTGCTGGGCTTGCCCTCCTACTGACGAATCTGCAGCTCAGCAGCAGCATGATTCCACCTGCAAAGCTGCTGGTACCTTGCTCTTCCTGTTCTTCTCATTTTCACGGCGCATGCGCCACATCGGTCAAATTTAAATTCGCTCCACGCATCATGAATGTGCAAGACAGGCACCTTGATACAAGGGTACACCCTTGTGACTGTGTAACGATGTCGTGTCAACGTAGGGTAGTTGCCCGCCACCCCCTTGGGGGGATGTGCAGGCTCCATGTCAGCGCCGCCGGTCAGAAACAGACTTGCTCCAGGATGGCTAGAGTGACATTCAGGCCAGGGCGGCTGATACCAACGCTGGGTAGGATGGCAATCAGCGTCTCATCGACCAGGCAGTCCGAGGCAGAGAATGTCTCCACAGCGGTGCAGCACCTGCAGTGCGGGGGAACATAACTCTGTGCGGTCAGTCACACACGCATGAGCAACCACGTTGGCTGAGGCTGGGATGGCCTCTGTTGACCGCCCTGCTCACCCTTCCGTTGGCGGCTCGGCGCTTTCCAGGGCGGCCATTGCATCCGCCGTCTGCTGGGCTGTGGGGGCTGTGGATGAGAGTGGCACATGCTGATTGATCACATTCCTCTCTTGCTCGCATGCGCCCAGCACCTGCTGACCAATCGCGACGCAGCCGCCCTCGCTCTGGGCTCGCCCTGCACAGCAGCTTCGGGCGGGCCGACGGGTGTCGAGGGCGGGGTGCCGGCTGGCCCCAGGCTCTGCTGGGTGGCGCCTGGTGCTCCCAACCCAACCTTGCCTGGACCCAGCAGGCCCTGGCATGCCGCAGCTGGAGCAGGGGAGGCGGCCAGGCACTCACCAGCAGGGACCGCCAGCAGGGTGCCCAGCAGAACACCGCACAGGACGACTGTCGGGGACTTCATTGCACAGACAAATGGGCAGGAACTAAAGTTATCTAGCTGCAGCTCTCGTGAATGATGGCTTGAATGTTCAGTGCTTTCTATTCTTGGCCTTTCCAAATGATGACTGTTTCACGTTGTTACATCGTTTGGGATGAGTTTTGGCAGGCACGGTGCATGGGCACATGGGCACGCGCCAGAGTACAACTCAGATCATGCGTTGAAGGCTGAGGGCAGCACACTGGTGCATCATGATTGGGTCAAGCTCGGGAGAGATGCAGCAACAACAGCAGAGGTGCGCAGATGCCCCACACACGAGGAACAGGGGGAAAACAACACTCTGAAACTGTCAAAACGAGGGCTGTGCAGCGGCAGAAAGGAATACACAGACGGAGCGCGGCATAGTCTGGAGGGAAACTGGGGGTTGTGCGCGTGGGCACGAGGCGCACGAGAGGAAGGGCCCACTGGTTGGCAACCTTCACTGCCGCCCGCCCGGCTGCTGGCCGCCCATGTTGCTGAGCATGGTCTTAAACGCCGCCATGAAAGTCTCCGCCGCCTGGTCTGGGTCAACGTTGGTCGGCGGCGTCGGCGGCGTCGGTGTCGGCGGCCGTGCGCCGCCGTTGCTGGGGGCCCAGCCCGCGGCGGCCGCCGCCAGCGGCTGCTGCTGCTGGCGGCGCGCGAGGATGGGGGAGGGGGTGGCCAGAGGCTCCTTGCCGCTGGTGCCGATGCAAGTGAACACGCTGTCATCATCAAACTTGAACTGCGCAGTGCAATGGGCCGGGATGGGTAGCGATGGTTGTGAGCATTAAGTGTTGAAAGCAGGGACAGAGAAAGCGGGGGTCGCCACGCCCGCCAGCCGACCGCCTCCGGCTGCCACACACCCCACGCCACCACCCCACAGCCGCCGGGGGCCCTCCCGTACCACAAAGCAAGCAAACCAGACGGGCCACCGAAGCAACTAGCGCCCCACCTGGTTGTATGCATCGTACACATCCTCCACCCCGGCAGCCTCGTACATGCTGCGCAGGTCGCGCAGGCAGTCCAGGCTCTTGAGCGGCACGCAGTCGGCCTGCAGGTGCGTCAGCAGGCCCAGCCAGTACAGGTTGTCCTGCAGCACACAGCAGGGAGGGAGGGGGAGGGGTGGAGGGGGGCAGGGCAGCGGATCAGCAGGCGGGCGCAGCTGGGAAGGGGAGCAGCCTGAGGCAGCAACATCAACAGTGTGGACCGCCCAGAGGGCTCGCCAAGGGCTCGCAGCAGGCCGCCCCCAGCCCCCAGCCCTGCCCCTTGCCCCGGGCCCCAGGCCCCTCTTCCCAGCCCGCTGCCGGCGCTGCGACGGCCGCGGGGCCGCACCTTGAGGTCGCTGTCGTGCCGCGTGATGAGCGTGCGCTTGGCGCGCAGCAGCTCGCGCTGCGTGATGGGCTGCAGCTTGATGTTGCGCAGCACGTTGAGGCTGGCCATCATGGCGTCCTGGATCTTGGCGGGGGTGCTGGTCACGTTGACGTGCCACCAGCCTGGGGGGAGAGGGAGGGAGGGAGGCAGGGAGAGAGGCAGGGTCAGAAGAGGGGTGTAGGCATGGGTGTGTGCGCGGAACTTGGGGGGCGCCGAGGAAGACAAACGGGCATGGGCAGTACAGCGGGCGGGGCCAGGAGGTGCCGGGCGCGGGCACAGCGATCCTTCTGTTCTTCTGCTGCGGCCGCGGCTGCCGCCAGGCGTGCCTGCCTGCCTGCCTGCCTGCCTGCCAGGCCTGGGCGGGCGGCGCACCTGAGGGCAGGCGGTCGAAGAGGGAGAGCTCGAAGGAGACGTCGTATGG